ATGAACATAGTGGAATCTTTACTTCAGGATGCGTTCAGTGAACCTCCCTCTCTGAGAGCGACCCACAAATTGGAAAGATCTGAGAGCCGCTCAAAGGAAAACAGAAGAAGATGCACAGGTTGCTACAAGGAACTACGAGAAGAAAAAGGTCGCACTTTTGCCATGAACCATGCAAAAAAAAGTCTCGACAAGGTGTAACGAATACCACAAATACTTTTGTTTGGAATGTTTTCTGAGTTATCATAAGAAGTGCATGTAATTTATTAGTTTATAAACTTTGGGCTTGCTCCTTTATCGCTGCCCTCAGAGATACTTTTGTTTTCTGTCATTGCTATAGACGGAAGTCAATGATACTCGGACCATTGCGCCTCAAGATTCTATGGAGGGTCATAATCCTGCTTTATACACGAAAGCGTCAAAAAAAATTGAAAGTGAATGTTATACATGAAAAATACTACTGTGGCCCGTATACGGGCCACGCGGTCGTCAATGAGTTAAGAAATAGGAAACCTCTTGTCATCAAGGCCGGCCCCCACTGTCTAAAAGCCCCAAAAACACGTAGGGTTTGCCTAATTCTGTTATTTAAGTTCAGCGTTTGATGTTTGATCAGTGATCAATGTTTGACTATGTGTTGCTATTTCTGCTACATGCTTCTTGGTTTGTGTTTCTTTTGAGGGCAACTGTTGAGTAATTATCTTCACTGATAGAACCCTGGTTAAGGAGTATGCCAACTTCTGTGCGATGATTGATTGAACCCATCGGCTAATTTCAGACTTCACCGAACGTCCGTCCGTCCACCCGACCGTCCGTTCAGCGCGTGCGCGACCGCCGTCGCACACGCGTTGAACCGCAGGACGGATGGTCGTATGAATCGTTGAGGTCTGAAAGCAGCCATTCAATCGAAAGAGGCTATGGATGACGATTTATTCATGCCCAAGAGAGGTTTAAAGATTATCCACACGTTGTGTGTAATCCCCAGCGACTGTGCAGAAAACAGAGTACAGGCGGCACGATGGGAACACGCCCACAAGGGGCGGGGTTTGTGTGAAAGACTTAAACTTGGATCTAGAGCGTTCAAATGAGGCAAGAGTACAAGCGGCACGATGGAAGAATTCATGTCGGGTGGCAGGACTCAACTCCGCTCACAGGAGGCGAGGCGTTGACAAAAAAATGTTAATTAAAACTTGAAGCGAAATTTCGAAACCAAGGTTGAATAAGTCGGAAATAAATGAAGTTACTCAAACACACAAAACCTAAGGTTTGTTAATGGTGGGTGGGGTGCGCACGAATTGTGTTGCGTGTTTAGATTTGGCCGGGAATGAATACCTCTCAGCTACCGAATCCTTCAAATTTGACGCCAGCCCGGCGATCTATGTATAAAGCGGTAACTTTGTGTGTCTGTTTGCATGGCGGTTTGTGCGTCCGCCTGAAAGTCACATAGGCACGATGAGGATTGTGGAAATGACGTGGGCGCATGTTGACATGGGTGAGGGACATGTTACGAAGTAGGAATGCCGTTGATATTGTATTGATCTCACTAACTAAGACATAATACTTAGGAATGTTTTGCACGCCTAAGCGTGCGCAGCACAACTTGTAACAAATGAAGAATTCGGACAAGCCATGATACGGCATTCGCATATGAATTGATTCCGTAATAAACTTGGACTTTTGTACTTAAGCTTAATCTTAGCAGTCTCGTAATCAACTGAATTTTTTACATAATGGGCTGCAGGCTTGTCTAGCATGAATGCAGCTAAACACCTATTCCAAGTCAGAGCGCGCAAGCGTGACATTACATCAAACCCTACGTCGGAGTTCTCACTCTAGTGTAATGTCACAGTTACGCTCTCTGACTTGGAATAGGCTTTTATCTTCTAGTTTTCTTTTGAAATTTTTAGATCAGGAAGTTTTGCACAATTTATTGCATTCGATTTTAACACAGTTTCAGATGTTCACATGTAACATGCACTTTTTCGTCGGCTTGCAAGTGCGAATGAACTAGCTTTAATTCCTCTTTGGCTACTTTTTGGCATATCTTGAGGTGTGATTCGCCCAAAGTCTGTTCGCATACAGAGATGAGTTCCTCATACGTTTGAGATGGGGTGACATCCTTGAGACGATCCTTGAAATGATCTCGAACCATGTTCGCTACATCTGAAATGAGGCACATCGTTGAGATTCCCAATAAAAGAACAACTAAAGGTTCGAATTCGTTCTATTTTCGAAAATGTAATTTCATCACGCTACGAGGCGAGACGGAGAAAATCCCGTCAACGAAGTTAGCTGGCGCTGTAGTGTAGATTAGTTGCGAGCTTAATTTCAGAGCAGGAAGGTGCACTGGCATATTTCTCCAAAAACGTAGATTTTCGGATTTTCCTAAACAGGGTATCCCAAAATTATCGTGAACTGTGCCTTAAGGCTGGATGAGGCCAAGTGGCGCCGTCCGACTTCATAGGCGTAGTGGCCTATCACACGTGGTTCAGACATCGAATACCGGATTGATAACAATCCAGCCCAGTCCACCTTTTCATTACTATGGTCCCATCTATTTGCTATCATACTTATCTGAGAACATGAAAGCACTGATTGATATTATGTACTATATCGGCAGGCCTCCATGGTCCTGAATGGGTCGAAATGTGTTCAAAGTCTGCTGTAATTCCGGTTTGAAGTGGAATTTTCCCGAATCACATGGATTTCCCCAAAATAACGAATTGACATCAAATATGAAAAAGCATCTGATTTCTGAACGGTCATCGGATTATTTAAGAAAAAAAAGACGTGCCTCACACTTCTTGCAAACTTCAGGATCTTTGGGTTCGCTGATTGCGAAGCCAATCAGCATAAAAAGTGGCCAAAGGAAACATCGAGAACACTGCCATTGCTGAGCTGGATGGAACTTCTTTGAGAACACAAGAAAATGAGTACCTGAATATTCCCTCGCAATGACTAATATCACACGGTTAATCTCTCATGTTTCGGGAACATCGAACGAATTCTCTTTTTTACGGGAAGATGAGGCAGTGGGGTACGGTGTTGTTACCACAGGCACGACTCAGTGATCGAATCGCGACAGTTTATGTCACTTGAGCATGTTGTTTATCCGGGTCTAATACTTGTTTCCAGAATCACACGAGAGGAAAGGAATTCCTACTTGTAAACCCCATAGACCCTGAGGGGCCTTGCCTGTTTGAGGGCTGGAGAACGTACTTAGCAGTTACTGCGATACTAATGATCACGCGAATATAAGGCTTATCATAAAGGTATGATCCATCCTGGTTGCTTCATCCTGAATCTTTCTCGTACTACCTTGTCGGTCCTTTGAGTGCCGTTTATTTATTGGTTTATTTACTCATTTGCTTATTCATCTACTCACTTCTGCCCTTCTCGAGATGGAAATCATCGGTACTGCAAGTCCAAACTTACGAGCCATGGGGCTAGTGTATGAGAATTGATGTCTATAGTTTCATTTCCACTTCAGGAGAACGTGCCGAAGTGGTGCCACCCTGCTGGAACATTTTCGGGGCAGGAATGGCGGCGCCTGGCTGCGCCTCTCTACTCCACGTGTGGTCCTTTTATCGAATCCCCGCTCGCTATTCGCCAGAGCCCACGTCACCATCACACCCCTTCTACCTTTCAACCGCCCAGAACTGATTCGTACGAAAAGATAAAAGCGTTTGCATCAGTCGGTGGAGTCTTAAAGTACGAGTGAGTCTTAAAGTAGAACGAGATAGCTAGAATTTGAAGCTGATAGGTTCGACCTGACCTATTCAGTGTGAGCCGCACATTCAAACTTTTTTTCAAAATCGCATATCTTGCTGACTTACCTGTGCATCGTTCCCCCTCCCATGACATCGTATCGGTGTTATGCTTATTCAAAGTTACATAAGGTTCTAAAGGCTGACAAGGATAGCATTGTTGTACACTTACTGAGCCGTGTGGAAAGACTGATGAAAAGAGTAGAAACGATTTTGAGAGAAAGTCAAATGGGCATATTTTGTGTGAGCCTAGAACTCCTTTTATACTTCTTTCCTGTGCAAAAAAGCTCTGCACTCTCCTCCAAATCAACATTGTTTTTCAATGGCTAATAAAAGGCTGAATATGATCAGGCTATTTCCATGAAAGCTCCAGAAAAGTTGTGTGGAAAGCAATTGTTAAGAATTTCGAATTCGCAATTTGACACAAAAACTTTCACGAAATGTTGAAACCATTGCAAAACGTGGAAATTTGAAAGCAAAACTTTGCTCACGAAAGTGCTTTGTTAACGCGTTGCGAAACGTCTGTTTTCTTCCGGTTTGAAAGATCCGCTTTATAGGAACAAAGCGGCTTCGACACAATTCGTTTCAGGAGGTCCCCAACCTTTTCGAACCTTTTACCCTGTTTACCCAATTCTAAGTATGTATAGACTTGCTACTCCTCGAATGTGGAAATGATCCCGAAGCAAGAAAAAAAAGTTTATCGCGATAATTTCACTATATGTACAATAAATAGGCATTAATGAAATGCTGAAGGTGGTGTGCTAGCAAAACAAACCCCGCAGTCCACACAGGTATCCAAAGGTGACGAGCCGGAGCGTAGATCACGAAACAAAGCAAAAGGATGATTGGAGACGATGTACTCGCAGACGCCAGCCATTACCAACGACTTCAAGGCGTCTAGTCGACATTCCTTCCGGAAATACCGTAAGAACTGTAGGTCGGTCGTGTTTGATATGGATGCACCAAATGTGTTTTGAGTATTTGTGATGATCGTCTAGAATGAGAAAGATTCAATTGATCGATAGCTTACTGCCAAATTGCCACATCCCATTCCTTCAGAATGTCGTGTGACTCGAAGACTTTTCTGAATCGCGCCATGTACTCAGCATTCAATCAGAATCTTACAAAAGTCCGTATGGATATTTGTTTTATGCAATGATCAGGTAAAGTCTGGTGGTTCCAGGGCTGTTGGCATTCATTGGCGAGGTCTTCAGAAAATACCGGCGTGATAAAATTGTATGATATTCGATCCTAGATAAAGCGGGCGACAGCGGCCCACTTGCCCTTGTGCCATCTGGGCTTATTTCCAAAATAACTGATTAAAAACTTGACGATACTTTTTCGCCTGTGAGTAGAAAAATGCTTTATTCTTTCCTTTTCTTTGCCCTGTCGCATTTGCTTTGTTTCTCTACAACTCTTTATCGGAGCGAAATAGTGCAGTTGCAGGTCGCGCCGTTGCTGAACGAAACGTAAGTGCGGATCGAATTATTACTCAGTTAAGAGAGTCCCGCAGTGGTTCAGTGTTGGATAACCTTCATCACTTTTGTTTGAGGGGACGAAAAAACGCTAGATATGTACCCAACAACTCTTAGTAACGATAACTTTGGCTGAATAACCACTGGAAAGCACTCAGTTTCATTCTTGAGAAAGGTCGAACGTATGGCGCAACCAAGAGAAACTGCTTGGTGCCGAAAATGATTCACATTCATGGTCTTTCTATCACATACACCGCCTATGGAAAAGCGAGGACAAGCAGGGTCTCGATAGTGTAAGGAATCAAGAGC